GCCTCGACCCATGTGCAGGACCTTGCATCATTCAAAGTTTTTAAGCAATCTGATAATTTTAAATCTGTTACAATTTTAGCAACTGCCATAAGGAGAAGCCAGGAACACAGTGACAGCTAGCATGTGAGCGTTAAGAATTTTTTAGGGGATATTCAAACATTGGAAATGATTGTACACTCCAGGGGTGTGAGGTTTTCTAAGGTCATTCAAGAACATTCATGCTATCAAATTCAAAATCAAACTATTCCTAAACTGGTCTTTCGCCTGGGGAGCGGGCAGGGAAATCATACTGCAGCCCCGTTACTTAACAGTGCTGAAAAAGTTTTCTGAAAGAGATTTTCCTCAGAAATGGCATTCTGAGAGAAGGAAAAGTTAATTAATTCTACTGCACTGGCTCCGAAAAAGCTGTGAATAAGACTTTTCAGAACAGTTTAACCTAGCAAACTAATGCAAAAATGAAATGCTATTAAAATCACCACATGCACTTCCTCCCTTCCCCTCCTCCTTTTCCCTTCTCTCTGCCACAACACTGCTACAATAATGGATAGCTCATATATATTCAGTTTGTTTCTTCTGCTAGATTTAGTATGAGCGTAATTTACTTTATTGTCTCCTTCAAACTGATCTGAACTAAAGAGATAAGAAGTACTTTTATCTTGGAAGGACAGGGTCCATGCAGGCAATTATACCAATACAGTTGTCATGACATAAGTGAAGTGACACGGCTCAAGAATTCCCCCATCACCTTTTTGTTATATCTTATCTCTACAGTATGTAGTAGTGGAAATACAGATACACAACTGGACATACAGAAAAAAAAAAAAGAAAGGAACAAAAACAGGTGACAACGGAAAATCCGTCAAGCACCCCACAAAGTCTGCTGCATGCATATTTCATTATTATTTATAGGGGACATGGCAATCTACAAGCTAGTATTTATCAAAAAGTAAGTTTAAAATGCTTAACTTTTTAAAGTCACAAATCCAAGTTCTTTGGTTTTAGTGACTACTTGCTGAAGGCTTCCTCCTGCCACATGAGATACTTGCTTAGAGGAAAAAACCCCACAGTACTAATTGTACAGGAAAACAACAAAAACATTTGTATTTTCTACCAAATGGGTAAAGCAAATGAAACAGAAGTTTTCTCCTTTTTCCCCTCCACTTCAGCCATCTCAGGGTACTTTGTAAGGAGAAGAACTTTGAAAAACAAGGACTCAACTAAAATCTAATAACAACATGATTTCAATATACAGAACAATAGTTATTTCTAAGCAGAATGCATTGGTTAGAGTGAGTAGCAACATAAAGTGATCCAGTGAGTTTGAAAATAAAACTTTGTTAGTTTGTTCAAAACACAGGTAATGGTGTGTATGATGCCTTTAACATATCACATGCATACGAAGTGTGAATTATCATTCATATGTCAGGCAGGAGGACGTTTCTCACTTTAGTGAGAATGAAAAATACCTTCAGTGGTGCTAACTGGAAGCAGTGATGCTGACTGATCTGACATAAATGTATGTTAATTCGCACATCCATGCACCCACACATCCCCAACCACGAAAATAAAACTTTTTAATCCCCTAAAAGCAAGAAAAGTATTTAAGATGTATACAATACATTTGTACAGTAACTGTAATTGATGTAAAACGACATAGATCTTAATGACAGTGGCCCACTGTGCCTACAGAAAACACAATGCTACAATTAATTCTTAGGTGAAGAAATTCTTGGGTGTCGATGAAGTGGTAGTTGTATCGTACTTTAATCAGTTTCAAATTTAGTTCTAAGAAGGGAAACAAGTGGACAACAGAGAATGCTTTTCAAGCTGTAGATATTCAACAGCACCTAACATATGTATTTTTTTAAATTTCAAAATGTAGTTAAATATTAGAGCATTGTACTCCCCCTACCCCTGTCCCAAGGGATGAATTAGTTTCCTAATATCACAGATAAAAGCAGCAAGAAGCACAATTGTATCTCTCAATACTTACAGCAGTTAAAGCTTCTACATTGGCACCAGTAAGACACAGGAATCGGACAACATCAAGAATGCCATTGTTTGCTGCCAGATGTAAAGGTGTTCTTCCATACTAACATGGGGAAAGAAGCGTCATTACATTAGTCAAAGAACTTCACTCCAAATTTTATGACTAATAATCAAACATACTGTACAATTATACATACTGATACAAAGCAAAAAACTGTAAGAAAAAGTATAAGCAAAAACTGTAAGAAAAAAGCTTAAGCACAACTGCTTAAAGCTCAATTAAAAACAAAGGCTAGATTGACTACTTAAAAATGGGAAACGATTGTATAAGCTAAATCCCCCACAACTGTGGAAGAATCCTTTACAGGTTTTTTTTGGCTGTATTTGTGAATGTCTTTCTAATTCCCAGTAAATTTAATTGCATTTTGCTTAGTTAAATATGAATCAGTTAAGCAACACTAAGTCCTTAACCTTTAAAGCTCTGTATTCTATTTCAATCCAAGTATTACTGAAGATTACATATCCGCAGTCTCCCCACTTCCAGCCAAAGCAATAAAAGGGATGAATGCAAGAAGTCAGCCTGAAGGAATTTACACTTTCAGTGACAGAGGGAAGTGCTGTAAGTATTCCATCCTCAGTTTTTGCTTTTCTTCACTGACAAGAGGTCCTCCTGACATCCACTACTGGTTTTTCATGTTCAGAGCTACTGTTACAAGTATCACCATTGTATATTCTCTGCTTCTAACTCCTCTTACTACTACTTCACACATTTTCATACTTTCAATACCGTTCTCCCTGTTTCAACACTTCATTCAGAACCAAACCCACAAACTTACTTCAAGAAAGGGTATCTGCAAGCAAAGCTAACTTTATGGCAAGTAAAAAGATGCCTGGCTCCTCAAAACCCTGCACCTCTACTCAAATAAATGCTTATGATGCTCTACTGCATGTAGTCTGTAGAAGAAACCAATAGTGCCTTCAGTCAGTATTAGCTGCATGTGGGATTGCCCGATGTGAGGACCAAGGACAGATGGTTGTTAAGTTAATGCATTCCCATTACAGGGCTCGCTGCTGACGACGACCAGTAGAAATAAAAATTCTCTATTTGATAAGACCAAAACTCACCCTTTCAAGTAAAGAGCACTCTAAAAATCACTCTACTATATGTAGCTCCTAGAAGAGTAAGAGGACACAAACTTTAACCACAGCTTCTGTAGGCATGATTCCACCACCACTGAACACCTGAAGATTATTTTTTCCACAGCATGCTTGTGGCCGAGGCCACTGATCCTAGCTCAGCATTTTCCATTATGAGAAGAGGTGCTAATCCAGCCCTGTGCTGCATTAACCCATGTTCCCCAAAATGTGTTCTCATCTGTGGATCTGGATTTAACTGCATAGTCAACCAGGCTTAAGCTCAGAGGCAGGACTGGAGAGCTCATGATTTTAAGTTTTTTCATTTGGCAGCTTACAATTTTAATTACTAAAACCAAAAGTGGTTGCACTGGACAATCCTCAAGTCAAAAGCTCCATAATTTTCTTTAGCTGGCTAATACAGAGAAGTTCAGTGCTTTGGTAGTAAATGGAAGAGTTAACTAGCAAAATGTTACTGCCAGAATGCACTTTTCCAGAAAAACAAAGAAGCTACAACACATGAATCAAATCGATTGCAGATAGCACCATGAAGACGCCTATGAATAAACAGGGCAGAGAAAGACATTCAGAGCTAAATATCAAGTCCTAAGCCCCACAGCTTGTCAGCAGAGTCCAGTTGTTGACTTTAACCTATTCAAACTAACCAAGGGAAAGTTTCCTGAAACAGCTTTTGACTTTAATATCTCTAAGAGGAAAGCAGCTGGAATGTTAAACCTGTAAAGCATCACATTCAGTTATCCCATACACTGCAGCACTAGCACAACAGATGAAGCAAGCAAGGCACTAGTATCTTAAAGTTTAGGGATAAGCTACTAAACATTGTCTTTGGAAAATGCTTTTTAATTCTGAACTGCATTTTAGTTCAGAGATTTCTTGTACGTTGCCAGTGACGACTTAGATAAATTAAAGCCATTCTATTCTGTTTGAATAGGATTTATTTTATCAAATAAACTCAACACAGAAAAACACAAACCACTGACATGACACTTGTTTTATATAACCAGAATAGAATATGAAGTCTATTTAAAATTCCTTGTTAGATGACAGTGCAGGTCTTTTCATGGAATTTGGAATAATTCCAAGCAGATTTTCATAAATATGTACCAGTCTTCAGTATATAAATTACTGTTATTAAATCACATCCAATCAACATCTGCTTAGGCCAGCAGCAAAGCATTTCATCTGTTCTTTAGTGTCTAGATGTAATCTGCAGAAAGCAAAGCTATACAGCTAGGGAAGAAGGTTAGCGTATACTTCAACACTAGAGTTGAGTGGCAAAATACACACAGTTATAATTCACTTTGGCTCCCTCTTCATGCATCTTTAATCATCTATTCAAATAAAACAAACCTACATAGTTTGCCAGGTGAGTCATTTAATGCTTTGCATTTGGCCACTTTAAGAGATGAAAAAATAAAAAGGAAAAATATTTTTCACACCAGAGAACAGGAAAAGGTCATCTAATGCAATAGGTGAGCTACTAAACAGACTAACTCAGTACCTGTATTCCATTTACCTTATTAGTGACATCCAAACTGCAACTTGCTTGACACAGTGCCATCACAATAGGAACATTCCCATCTTTGCAGGCCACATGCAAGGGACTGTTGCCATGTCTGTCTTGGAAATCTACAAAACATCCGTGACTGATCAGAGTTTTAACTACTTCTATTTGACATCTTCTCACAGCAAGGTGTAGGGCCATATGACCATCCTGAAATCACAAGACAGCTTGTAAGTGAGATTTAATAATGGTAAAAATCAAAGTACTTTGCAGAGTCACAATGATTTCATACAAGTGGGTGCACCTCCTTGCCTAAAGAATCACAATGGGTTTTATTTTTGAGGGTGAAGCCAGGGAGAAGCACAGTATCTGTCAGAACAAAACAGCTATGGGATGAAGCAAATTTCTGTTAAGCCACTAGTCTTTGCAACAGAATGGATGACATGCAAATACACACTCTCTACTGATGACTTCCGTAAGAGGTGGGAGTGTGACCAACTGTAATGACCAGATGAATATTTTAAACCACTCTAGTGTTTACTGACAGAAGAAGTTAGTGATGCAAAAGTCATGCAATCCGCTTAGTGATCGGGAGCTTTAGAGATGGAGCTTTCTCTCTCTGAGGGACAACTTAAAGTGACAATGTGACTGGAAAAAAATTCTTTTAGAAGCAAAAGCATTTTTCTGAACTTGCTTTAATAACTATTTAGTAACTATCAGCAATAAAGGTAGCTAAAAGGACAAGCATACCAGAAGTATCAGCAATGAAATGCAAAATTTGTTTGTTGGGATTACACCATGAATGACAAAAATTATTTTGAATCAAATAGAGGTATATTTTTAAATAGTTGGAATTTAGCTTACTGGAAATAGGTGTGATTTATCCAGCCCATAGGAATCAAAGGCAAACAGTAAATCCATTTCTCTTAGGTTAATTGTTTGTTGCCTATTACAGAACCCCATGTTCCCACCATTTTTCACTCATAAGGTGATAATTGATAAGGTCATAGTGATAATTGATAAGTTCATAACGAATCAACAAGAAGCCAATAGTGGAAACATAATCAGCAGACAACTGTAAAGACTACTGCAGTCATCAAAAGCCTGTGTGCAAACTGCTAAGAAAAGTCACATCACGGAAACAATGCTGGCGTGCAGCATTCAAACGAAGCAATTCAGAGGTCCAGCTCTGTGACACCTGTGATCTCTGAACATAATTTCTAACCAAAAGCAATGCAAACTAACCTTGTCTGTTGCATCAAGGTCAGCCCCATGTTCTGCCAAGCACTTCACAATGTCATGGTAACCCCGAGCAGATGCTGTCAAAAGCGGAGTCTCCCCTTCTTTGTTTTTAATGTTCACATTACAACCTGCTTCACAGAGTGCTTTGGCAACAGAGTAGTAGCCATGCCAAGCAGCACAATGCAGTGGAGTTTCTTCTTCCTGTTACATGGAAAAACAAAACAAAACAAAACAAAAACCCACAACACAACACAGCTGAAACAAATGCTAGGAGTAACAATTCCTCAGCCTAACTTAGAAAGACAGGAAGATGACACAAAAGAAAAGACAGTCTACATAAAGTAAGCCTTATAAAAAGATGTTGCAATTTCTAATGCTGACATTCTTAAAGGAAGAATAAGTCCTGCTGACATACTAAGTGACTAGGGCAACACAATAGATTTTGTATCATTACCTGGATTCTGAGAGTCCGTATTTCTCACCATAAAACTATCTACTGACAACACTTTGTACGTCAGCAATCTTAGTTTAGATGCTTCCATGCTCCTGAAGCTATCTATCTCGGTTCTCTCACTTGAAAGCTGATCCTCATTCATAAGTTACTTCTACATTGTGTGTGCTGTGGGACTAACGCAGTGTTTAACAGAGATTGCTCACCAATGAGATGCAAACCCCACGAAACTTGCAGTTTGAGGCAGATCACTCCGCTTAACAGGTTCAAAGAGCACACCCTAACGATCTAGGAGTGTAAGCAGTGACTTGGGTACTTAGAAACTTAAGTCCCTTAAACGCACATCACGACAAGCCTTTGAAACCGTAGGCATTTCGAGTTCATTTGAGACCGAAGTCCTCATTTGCTTTTTGCTTGAACCTAGGGAGCCTCAACACATTCTCCTCCAACTTCCTTGTACTTCGTAACAGTTACGTGGAACACCATTAGAAACTCAAATGTTTTACAAAAATCTGCTACTGAAAGTAGCCCACTAAAAAGCAAGGAGGATTAAAATCTGCCAAATTCTAAGAAATGGGATATCCTTTCTGCATCTGGCAAATATCAATGAGGAGAAAATCAATGCTGATAATATTACAGGACTTGGATTGTACTCAAGGTTTCTGTAAAAATGTGAGGAAAAAGGCAAACAGCATTCTGTCGCCCCTTGGCCTGCTGCTGCATAAGCAATATAAAGGTAGTCCTAGAGGATGCAGCACTTGCAGAGGCTTGTGGAACTCCCAAACACAGTTAAATTAGGGTCAAATGGATTTTTTTTTTCTATTAAGCCTTTTCTTTCCTGTTTTCTCACATGAGTTCAGAGCTCTAAAGAAGCCCTCCTGAGCCCTCCTCTCCTTTTCAAAAAGGAGTGCTCGACACTTCAGATAAATCCCACGATGGCTAAAAATAAGCTGAAGTCAAGACAAAAACTAATAAAGAGCTTTAGCTGAACTCACCAAGCACATAATACCTTCCTGATGTTGAGTTTCTCCATCTTTAAGCTTTCATTTTCAAGAGAATCTCTGTTTTGTAACAGTAGCTGGTTTATGCACACTGTTTTTTGAATAGTCTTCATCGATTAAGAGGTATTGAAACCTCCATAATTCTGCTTTTCATTTGTTTGTTTTTCAAATGCAAATATGCCAGTGGCTGCAAGGCAAGACTAAAAATTTTGACCACTCATACTAAAGCCTTATTTGTTGAAGAAAAACAGACAGTGCCCATGACTCACCTTGTCTTGAAGGTCTGGATTGGATCCAATGCTACAGAGAAACTGAACCACATCCACATGCCCATACCGAGCTGCAACATGGAGAGCAGTCTCCCCAGACTGTAATTATAGAAGAACATGCCACTGTAATTTCATATGGCAGCCCTAGGTATACACTGCCATGTACAGCCTGAATGCCTGTATGTTGCACGGAGTCCTTCTCCCACCCCATAGCCCTGCAGCACAGCTGAGGTCAGCAGAGATCTCCAGCTTACAAACTGTAATTGTATGTGAAACATACAACCAGACAGGTTATTTCTTCAAAGTCTTTCCTTTCTCAAAACTTATTTTCCTATGTCAGTTGTTCAAGTCACAGCCACAATGGTATTTCTGAGCAACATGAAGAGTCAGCTGTGAGTGCAATTGGTATTGAAACAGATATCCTATTTCTACTCATACTATTTCCATATGCCCCCACTCCACCCTGTATATCCAAATGTAAGGAGTTGGCCTAACACTTTGGTATAACCTGTTGTATTCTGGCCATCATATGTAATCATTTGCAACCTTTTGTTGAAATTATACTAAAATCAAATTGTGTTTTGTTAAGATAGTAACCTCTTTTCTGGTCACCCTATCAGGAGTTGAACACCAATTTTGGTCATGTGCCTTGCCTTGCACTAATTCCCTCAACAAAGAAAGCTGTGTTTCAGAGGTGTAACTGTCTTTGTACGGGAGCTTTGGCTAGTATAAAGACATTGCTACAGCATAAGATTTTAACAGCAGATAGTTTCTAGGACAAATGTTGCTCAAGTAACACTGCTAGAGGCAAGGTAAGTGCTCATCAGCTATAAATTGCTAGGCTTCATTATACCCAACTTAATAACAGTCAAATTTCCTTGTCAGACAAAAGTGATTTTCAATCAAGAGAAATGAAAAACAGAATCACGATTTTACTTTGAGTTCCAATGAGAAATCCGGTCTTCAGGGGAAAATTAATTTAGGTTTGTACTTCCCCACCTACTCACGACATTTAATATGCACGCTTGGTTAACATTTATCAGGAAAATAATCAGTACATCCAGCTACTTTAAAGCTGTGTTATCACAGCCCTGTATTTCAGCTTATAAAAGCACACTAAAAAAGGCAGTTGCATTCTTGGAATTATGGCACAGCTGAAAATCATTCCAATTGAAAGACCTCTCTCTTTGCTAAGATAAAGTTATAAACGAAGGCTCTCTGCATGAAAAATGAAAATAATTTTTTTCTTACCTTATCCTTAACGTCCAAAGGACACTTATTATCACTGAGAAATTTCAGTGTTTCCACATGACCATGTCGAGAAGCCCAATAGATTGCATTAGATCCAGCCTGTCAAAAATATTTGATTACAGATGTTACTGGTAATTTAGAATCCTAATTCTAGATTTTCAGCTGAGGTATACATGCACTTACGTGTACACTTAGATATACTGAACAGCTATTCATGCTTATATGAACATATTTACTTTTCAAAAAAACCCTCCAAATTGGTTCAACAACCCCACATACCAACAATGAAACTAAAAAAACCCTCTGTGCAAGGGAGTTTATTGGAAAGAACAGTCATGAGATAAAAGCCTTTCTGCTGCTTACTTTACCATCCATTAGATCGAGAAGCAGACAGTGCTTCAAGTTAGCTTCAAATAAGCTCCAGATTGTTACAACACATTTGGAAAAAAATCTTGTTGCAAAGCATACCCTCCACCACATAGAGTTTTAGTTCCAATATTCCCTATTGATGAAAATGTGCATTTATCATTCTATATTAAATGAAGTTCACCATTGTGTTTTAGGGCAATAACTGATTTGAACTAATTGAGGCAATTCTATAAGCACAAACTATATTTTAAGATGGGTATCATTCAATTACTTCCACTAATAAAGTGATCAAAATCAGAGGACATGCACAAACAACAACAAACAACAAACGAAATTACTAAAGATCTGCTTTTATCATTTTGCTGTGGGAGACAGAAGACAGGTTCTACCGCCCAGACTTTTTTCATTTTCAATACAACTTGGTCTGAACTGCCTATCCTCTTCTAAGTGTACTGAAAAACTTATACAGCACGGTGACAAAGCAGAACCCCAACCTTATCTTGAACATCAATACGGGATCCACGGTTTAAAAGCAGCTGAAGCATCTGAATGTTTCCACAGCCAGCAGCAATCAGTAGTGGAGGTGTTCCATGCTAACAACAAAATACAAGGAAGAAGGATATATTTCATTTTTGAAGGATTAAGAAAAGAGAGCAGAATCATAGAATAGAATAGAAGGCAGACATCGAATGGTCTCTTTGTCCATAGAAATTTATTGCATATTTATTGCATAGCAATCTTCCATACATTCGATGTGAATTCACACCTACTAAATGATACACCACACATTAAAGCCATGCTTTTCAAATCAGGAATATTAATGTTAAGCTCTCGTTAGCCCAATTTGGCAAGGATGCTCCCCTTTGCACCTTCTTTGTATCTACATTTTAAGCCAAATTACCTAATGTGTTTGCCACACCACCTCAAAGACACAAGCCACCAGCAATATACAGGAAACTTAAATGGGACCGCACCATTTAAACAAAAAAGTAGTGATTTCTTGAAAGGTTCAAGACCCCATCACAGTAAAATAACAGATGCTTTACTCTTATAGTTTTCTACATTAATATTTCTCAAACACTTTATAATGAAGGTCAGTATTAACCATTCAAAAAAAGTGAAAATTAGAGCACAGATGTTTATCCAAGGTTAAACAGCAGAGCCAACAACAGAACTTTGGTCTCTTGGTCTCAGTTCCAGTATTCCTGTTAGCATAGCAGCAGCACACTGAAATACTGGAGTAGGCAAGTAATTTCAGTTCTGAAAATGAGTGACACAATCTAACATTATGTTCACATAACCACTTTCTGCAGTATGAGACTTTTGTTTTTAACAGTGCTTTTCCAAGTCAGTTTTGGCAGACTGGTTATTCCTATGTATTCTGCCATCTTCATCTGCCACAAGAAACAACAGCTGCAAACAAACAAAAAAAAAGCAAAGGCTGATATTGGATATACTACAGCTCTTGACAACAGATTTGATTAAAACTTTTTCAAAGTCCTAGGCAAAAAGAAACATTTTGGGCTCCATTTTCAGGTAGTTTAAGAAGACTGAACACAGAACACATTAAAATTTCTCCTAAAGAAAGGCAGAATTATTTCCCATCCATTTTTCTTCTCTTTTTCACTTCAGGTGTTACATTTCTCTTTTACAACCACATTGCTCTATTCAACAGGGTGATAGCTAGTCCCCCACGCACCTCAACACAAACCCACAATACCTTGTTGGGTTGATTGACATCGTAATTTGTCAGAGATCCCAGAAGGTGCTGTAATCCAGGAACGTTGTCATCATTGATGGCATGAATAATAGCTTTCATCACAAAAGAATCTTCCTCATCCTTGTAATTAAATGAGAAAGAATGAAAATTGTTAGCTTCAAGGAGAAAAATCCCAACAGCTGCCAAGACACCTAAAAAATTTAAAAAGTAAAATTTTTGAAGTCTAAATTTTAGAGTGCTTCAGCTGCAAGTTGTAATCCTTCGTGAAGCATATGGCTAACATGTACGTGTGTTACTTGAAAACCCACAACCCACCCCCACCCTCCCATTTTTTAGTACAGTATGCTTCACTCTTCTTCACACAGGAACTCTTCACTGAGATTCCAAACAGGTTTCTTTTATTAGGTGTATTTTCTTCTTCCTGCCAGGACTTTCAATGGATGCAATACTTGCATGAAATGAAACTAATTACAAAACCAATAAATGCACAAATACAAACTGGAGTACCAAGTTTCACACCACCCAGGAATATGACACAGGCACTTTGGAACAAGATTTGATCTATTCAAATAGACCAGTTAAAAATCTATACCAGAAGTAATGAGCTTAGATACCTCTGCAGGTGTAACTTCATTTTTCTGCCATGCACTGAAATGTCAAAAAACTGAAATTCACTTAGCCCAATATTTGGATCACTCTGACCTACTCTCTCCTGAAGTTTCAGATTTTGTAGAACACTAACATTAAGGTACAATCCTTTCTGCTGCAACACAGGCATGAAATCCTGATCCAGTGTTTAAAGGCGTACTGACAGCTGAGGTGGGGGAAGCAGGGAAAGAAAGGCAAGACTGAGAGAACAAAGAGCATGAAAGCAGAAAGACAAAAGGAGGGAAAGTGGAAACAACAGTGCAGAGTTGCAGAGAAGGGACAGAGGGAAGATAATATGGATTAAAAAGTGCTTTGTAGAATTTCTGAAGTTTAATCCTATTAATGCACAGGAAAGATGAGGTTACCCAGCTCTAAACGTATTAACATACATACTTTGTTGATCACAGGGAATTTGTGTATTAAAGTGTGTACTAAGATCTGGAGAGTAAGCTGAGAAAGAATACTTTGGGATTTACAAACATTTGCATTTACAAAACATACAGCAATTGCTCCTGACTACTTAAATCTGGTAGACAGATATAATACCACAAATGGAAAACTGGCCGACTTCATAATTTCCTCCTTAAATAACTGCTTGCTGTGATACTGCTGTCTAGCATTCATTGCATCTAAGAGGGTCTCAATAATTTTGAATATTCTGTTAAAAAAATTGTAGTATTATTTTACTCTACACAGAGCCATGAAAAATTCAGATGCCACTGCAGTATAAAAATCCTCCTGAATCAAACTTCAAAACCAAGATAAATGAATTTTTGGCACTACTTGTCAGCCTCACCATGGTAATTCATAAATTAAACTTCAGGCTTTGTGTCATGCGGAAGATTAGACTATGGATAACTGACCCCTTTCGCCTTAAAATCTGCATCTTCCTGCACACGAGATTGGTTAATTATGCACATTTTCAATAGGCCAGTATTTCTCTTAGAGTAATTTCAGCAAATGTTAAGTTTCAGAGGTAGTAAAGCATTCTAAGCACGTAAGTACACACTTACCAGAGTATCATCACTCCTAGCGACACTCATGTTACTTCTGGACAAGAAAGATCTTGATAATCTTTGGCACAATGATATTAAGCGTACTGATTGCTTTTTAAAAATAAGAAGAAAAAAGTATATGTAAAAAAAATCAAAACAATACTTGTGATAAGATGCTACTGCAGAGATTTCAAAGGATACTGTTGTGTTAGCAAAACAAACCAGAGTTTGACTTCAACACCCCCCCCCATTCTCCTTTTCACATTACATTTGAACCTTCAATTTCTGTTCACATTTATAATCCAACAAGGCTATTATTACGCACTGAGCAAAGCTACATAATATTTTTGGATTGCTACTACTTCACCAAGCTGTTCAAAGTAAAACAGATTTGTATTACATCCCCTTGTTCTCACCGGAAACATTTAAATGTACATATTTTAAAGTACGTACACACTGAAAACCTGAACTGAGTGTAAATTAGCCGATAGCACTCCTTTAAACACCACATTACAAAACAGTTTAAGATATTCCTAGACCCACCATTTCATTGTAGGGCGGCAGACTAATCCTTGAATTTTATAAATACCACAGATGTTCACCTACCAGATGACTACTGTTGTCTCATGTTTCATCCCTTTTCACGATAAACAGATTTCTCATATAACAGTCCTGCCCTTGCTTAGTATCAGTGTGAATTCCCCAATGTGCACAATGAAGGAGGAGGGATAATTGTCTTGATGAACTGCACAGTTCAATGCTTTCAGCTAACATTTTGCCCCGCTTCTGGAAAGATTAAGTGATGCCAACCTTGTAAAGAGGTCGGCGATCTCAGACCAAAAATCGCTTGCAAAAGAGACTAGTTTTTCCTTCCTACTCCACTGCGTGTTGACATAACTACTGGAATAATTAATTCTGTGAGGCATGCCTAAGGGATGTTTGATTTACTGGGATTACTGTCACAAAAATATTTACCTACATTTAGAAGTGCCTTTTCTCTGAAAACATTACCAAGACAGATGATGACAGCATACAGTTACATGCATAAAACAAACAATCCATACACAAGCATTTGCATGCAGATCATTAACAAAGAAGTCTTCTCCCATAGTACCATACTCAAGCACCTAATTTGTTCCAAAAAGCTCAGGAATGGGTTTCTTCTTCCTTGTTCTCCACTCTGAAAGGCACTGATGTTTCCCTGGAACAGGTAATGCTACTGCATTTGTATGTCACAAAAATTTTGAAAATTTATTGAATTACTTACTTTCCATTTTCGTCGTGCTGCAAACTTTTTGAATTTCTCCATATTCACTGCAGATGCTTTTCTACTAAGTGCTTGCTGGGTGTCTTTAGGCTATATTCAAAAGGAAAATAAAGCTGTTGTAAAATAACACACAATTACAACCAGAACTTTCATAAAGCACCTTCCTGTATGTAAGACTGTCCTTCAGTCTTGTGACTGTCCTGATGACTTCCACTCACATTATAATAATACCATAATCATACTGTAATAATAAAGTAATTGTAAGCACATCTTTTAACATCCACAGCCTAGTGGGGCACACAGATGGAATTTCTTGCCCTAAAGGAAATCCAGACCTAAGAACATTTTATGCAATACTAAAATTTGGTTTTGCATTTTAAACAAAATCCTTTATCCTTTATCTAGAAGATGAAATTGGATATCATCTTCTAGACAAATTTTGTCTTCTGGGAAGCTTTCATGGCTGAATTTAAATGCTGTCAAACCTTGTTCCAGTCTCAGTGTAATTGACTGGATGCTGCTGGGAGCCCCAAAAACATCACATCCCACCTACCTGTGCAGCAAGCTCTAAGGCTGCACCCTTTGAATTTTCTCATATGCTAATACTAAGTACCAGTTACCAGCAGAGTATGCCAAGTTTTGCATTATGTGATCCCCTACTTGAAGTCATTTTTATGAAGAAATGCAGGTAAAAGTAGCGGTGGGAAGGGTGAAAAGAGGCTATACCAGTGGGGATGGGGGCAAATGCCCAAGAAGTTAAGATATAAAGGAATATAACAGGGTACAAAATAACATGTCTCATTGTAAGAGTTGAGACCTTGGTCCCTGATAGACAAACTTGGACAATGCTTGCTTCAGCAGTTAAAAGATCATTTCAACATGTTTCAACAGTTTAAGATTACCCCACCAAAAAGTCAGCAAAACACAGTCAAATCTGTCAATCTGACAATTGGTGTAGAAATATCTGCCACAGGACACTGAACTGTGAACTGGAGCAGCTGTGGCCTAGATAAATATTCTACTAACTGGTTCTCTGGGAAGTGGAATGGGGTCAAAAACCCACTGTGCATCCCTAAGACCTGGGAAATAAAAGTCACTGAAGAGGTTTACTACTCACAAGAATGAGATATGGAATTTAGAAAATTAAGCAGCAGGTATTACTACACACATTAAGAAGAATGATAGGTCCCATTTCTCCCTTTCAACCTAGTAGCACAACAGCTGGATCCAAATGAAACATTGTGAAACACTGAAAGAAGTGGTGGGCCACCACCCTACATCAACTGCTTTCTTCAGTCTAAAGAGGAAGGACAGGAGAGAGATGACCCTTTTTCCCCCAATCTAAATAAGAAGGTTAGAAGATGAAAAATGTGAGAAGAAACTGGACAGGATTCAGAGAATGTAACTTTGTCAGTGCAGTGCTCCCTGTAGATTAGCTTCTGTGCCTGAGCATAATTTTAATCTCAATAGTGGGCTACTTCCCTAATGCTAACATACACAGAGCACATTTTAACGAAGTACACATTCTGCACGTATTAGTTTTCATACAGACAGTTTCCCAAAACAGTAAGCTATACTAAAACATTATGCCAATTTTCCTTTTTAAGGAACTTGAAAAGTGAAAGCGAAGTATAAAATGAAGAATGATTAAAAACAGGACAACGGAGAATGAATTACATGCTAACCTTAATCCAAGGATGCAGCAAGCTATCTTGTATAGTCATTCTCTTCCTTTAATAAAATAAAAGACAGAACTGTTTCAGATAGTAAAAAATACATACCGCTAATATGTTCATTAAACTAACATCTCCAAATATCATGTAATTTGAAATAGTCAAAACATAGGCTGTAACAGTTGCACACAGAAGAGAAATAACTCACTTTGGATCCTTGACTAGAAGTCTTCGTATAAAATCTTTAGCTAGGGCACTGGTATTACTGAAGAACTCTTCCTCAAATTCATAATTCACAGCAGACACATTTGCCAATGTTTCCTGTTTGGTTTCTCCAAGAAATGGTGATGCACCACTTAGACTGCAAGAATTACACAACAGTCCTCTTATTACATGTTGTAACACTGCTGTTTCAACCCTCTGAGATGAAATAACAGCAGAAAGCGAACATTTTTCTTTTCCACTTTAAGACTGCAAATGTACTTTCAGGAAGACATGATCTAGCAGGGCAAAAAGCTTTGCTATAATTTCAGAGAATATTGATTAAGATAAAGCTGCTGTAGAAAATCACCTACAAATTTGAAGACAGCTTCCCATGCTATCTCAATGCTGATTAATGGCCATTCTTTCAATAATTATACTACTGTTTTATGATCATTCAACTTGAATCATGATGTGCAATCAAAAGAGTTTGACTTGTATGGACTCCACCCAAAACCCCAGAGGATAGAATCAGAATTAAAAAAACAGCACTTGCAAGAACCACCCACAAATACTTACTTACAGAATACTTACAGAATATAAGTTATTACACCAATGCTCCTGGAGTGAAGAGTGGCAGTGGGGGGAAGGATGAGGTAGAGGGGAGAGAAAAAAAAAAGGTTAGAACATAAGAATAATCATGAGAGACTTATTTCAAGTAAGATCCAATAACTTACCACATATCTGCTTCAAGACCAAGAGGCTCATAATTTACTATTTCAGGAGCTAAAGGAGAAAGCAGAAAGATCAGTACCTAGTCAAAGTACAGATCTATGTCACTCTGAGTCTATGTATGTCAGAGATTATAAGCTAAGATGCTGATAAAAACACCTTACAGAAAGTCCAAGTTGGAACTGAATGCTACAAATTGCTTATTTAGATTTCAAAACGTCACATATTACACACAAATTATATAATCTGTAACTCAGCCAAACCAAGCTAAGCCACACATACTGTTTCACAGACTGAGAAAGAACAATTCGAAGAAACAACAGCTTCCTCACCAACAAACTCTGGCGTCCCGAAGATGTTTTTGAATTCATTTCCAAAGTCAATTTTGTGTGCTAAACCAAAGTCAATAATCTTGATTCGAGGTTTTGGTACATTCCGGTCCAACAACATGATGTTCTCAGGCTTTAAGAAGGAAGGGGGAGAGAGAGATTATACATAGGTATGGAATGTCTGACACATATCAGCATTCTTCAGCACTGAACACTTCTCTTTACCTCCTTCAGCCTCTTTGAATTGTGTCTTCAGCAGAAAAATTCCATCTTTTCCTCTTATGATCTAACATATGCTAAAAATTAACTCCAATAAATTAGGACTTCAGGCTGATAACCAACTGCTATGATTTCCATAGGGCCAAGATGTTACCTCTTGTAGATACAACAATTGCAGTCCTCATGTGGAGTGACCCTAAGTGAAACGTTGTCTTCAGTAAAGCCCCTGCACTATAGCCATTCGAGCAGTGCTGGGAGCTTGCAAGAAACAAAGTGCTGTAAACTAACATTAACCCTGAGAGAGGTTTCTTTCACACTGCACAAGCAATTACAGAGGTATATATTGTTGTCTTTGGATCTCCAAGATAAACCTTTCGAGTGGTCCAGTTCCCAGATTTTAAGGCTCAATGTACGTACAAAAACTGGATAAAAGAGCAGGTTCTCAAGTCTTTTCTAATGATATTTTAAAATATGGACTTTGGATTATTTTACAACAAAGATTTGCAAAAAACAGAGCAAAGTTACAAGATAAAATGTCAAGCTTGTGATCAAAAGAGCCTGCTTTAGACTCCAACACTTCAACTAGCATACAGAACCAGCTACTTCATCTCCACATCCTGTCATGTCCATAAGATGGCATGCTCTGAAGAGTTCCTGGAGCTAGATACATCCATCCTGCTCACATTAAGGACTCCTCCTCATCATCACCCTTCTTTTACCTCTCTTCCCCAATTACAGGGGCCGATACATGCAAATGTAACTTTTGTCCTTCCCTTGCTACATTTCTATTGCATACTTTTATTGTTCTGTGTACTTTAATTCTTGCTGCATACTTTTAATTCACATACTCCTGGTATGTGGTGTAAGGATGCTTTTTTTTTTTAAATTAAAAACACATTGTCAAAAATGTCATATTGTAAGAAATGTATTTCTTACTAAATTCTCAATTCTTTTCTCTTGCTGACTGTCATACAAAGATCAAATATATTACTGTAGTTAATGAGGATGAGACTGGAAAAGGCATGCTTTCAGATCTAGAATGTAATAATTATGCCTCCTTCCCCTACTATAGATATAGCTGCTGACTTCAGCACCTTCAGGGAATGTTCAGCTGCCTACCTCTGAAAAAAATCTCGCAGAGGAAAATATTATGAAATTGAAACATTAAAAAAGCAATAATTGAGTTTAGCTACAAAAGCTCTCTTTTTATCACCAAACAGATGCAATTAACAGTTTTTCTAAAAACAAACAAAAAAGCCCCAAAAGCAAAAAAAAGAAGAGGAAACTATATGCTCTGTCTGCTCCACAAGAATCTTTGTACTTAACTCCGTACTGTTTCAATTTTGTAGCTACAAATAACATTCACGTGAACACAGCACACAACAGCAAAGAAACAAAAGATGAAAAAAGGAATCCTATTCAGAATGTTTCATCCAGACCCCATTCACATTCCATAAAATCATAATTATACTTTTTATTTCAAGACTGCTTCCTCAGAATGGTTTAACTGCATTGGAAGTTGCCATTTTCCATGAAGAATCTTACATTAAAAACAGATGGGAACTATTTACGGTTCAGTAATTTCCTTTCAATGGCTGAGCTTTCCCCTGTCTACATAAGCTAACAAAACAAAACTACAGCCAAGATCTGTATGATGGCAGATTTGTGGCTGGTGTTACAAAATACTTTAACGGATGTTGCCTACAGTTGTGGAAGTTTTTATCTGCTCAACATACCTTAAGATCAAAGTGGGCAATTTGTAGAGAGTGGAGATACTTAACACCATTAAGTATCTGTTTGAGAAATTCTGTGGCTTCCTCCTCTGTAAGAGATTCTTTCTCAGCTAAGAAGTCGAAGAGCTCTCCACCTGCAACACTTGGAGAGCAGAAGCAGAGTTATTGATGAGCTTGCTTTAACGAACAGGTTCCTTTTAGCATAGCTGTTCTCAAACCAGTCTTGAAAAGGATCCAGACACTTTGAAGGTTGTCAATATCAAAAAAGAAGATGAAAATTACTTAATTCAATACCCAAAATACTTAGTAACTATCCCTCCTCCCCCTGAAGAGAGTACAATAAGAAGAGTCTCATTTTCAAACAAAAAAATTTTTAAAAACCCAAACATGTTGCCTACTCTTTGTATGCACATTTAAATTAATACAATTAAACGTGAAGTAAGTATATACAAAACATAGTAAAGGGACATCTAGAAAATAAAACATGAATTGGCTCACACTACCAGTAAAACATCAGATTTCTGCCCCTCCCATTGAAATCCAAAATGTAAAGCTTACTTTGAAATAGTTACTGGTAGCTGTCCTACTAATCAGACTCTAAACTCCTCAAAGCATTCAACTCTTTGAAAATTTATTCTATCATTTGAAATAGTGTATTACATTCAGCATGTATGCTGAATTTGTACTCTAACATTACCACACCTTTCCTACAAGGAAAAGCTACTACTGCCCTGAAGACTATTTCCAGCAAGTGTTTTAGCTGCACAAGCAGAAAGAAGAAAGGTAAGAAGTGAGGAGGGTACATAAGCACATCTGGATTTTTGCATTTGAGGGAGGGGAATAAACTGAAGATGACTCTTTGCAGCTCAGTCAGCAGGCTGGCAGGAGTGACAGTAATTGCCAACAGAAAAAGAGATACTGAAGTGAATGGGAAATATGACTACAGCTATTCTTAGAAAACAACCAATCTCCTTTCAGTTTAAGGACATACATTGAGATGACTGTTTTTCTTGTTTATAAAAGCAGCACTATTACCTAGAAATGTCTTAAAGACTGCAAAGATGGTCATATTATCCCCTATATTTTGCATTGTATTGATACTAAAAAAAATTCATAAAGTACACCCTAGTTTATGCTCTCTTTCTATAGGGAAAAAAATCTGTTCACGATTTCAAGTTCTGATTATGAAAAATAGTGGGATTAACATATAACAATAGCTAAACAGTCTGGGCAAATTTCTGGAAATACATTTGATTCCTTTACCATGTCTACTTTTCAAGAGACTTAATCTGTGTTATTGTAATGCAAATTGCATGAAAAGTGTATTTTAATGAGTACTTGGAGGTTTCACTGAGCTGCCTAGACAATAATGAGAGTATTGTTTTGGGTATTATTTGTGTTGTAATATTTTCTGCATGAAAGCAATTATTGAAACATAATGCCATTAAATGTAAGAATTATAGACTGGAAGGAAGAGAGGTCATTTCAATAATCCTTTCTTGTTGTTGTAGAGACATTAAATTAGGAATTCCTAAAGATGAAACACAGTTCATTATTTTACAGAGGCTGGTCATAAACATCTTACAAACGGATATATACATACATTCTTACATTTTTTGCTTCTGACTGAAAAAAACAGCAAAAGGTTTTCAAGCTAAGGTCTGCACCTCTGCAGCACTTTGTGATGATGAACAGAAACCTGGATGGTGACACAGTGCTGGCGTTTCTCTTCATTTCCAGTTACTGGGCTAAGGGACTTACACATCACATGGAACTTGCTTCGCTGTGTTGCCAAGTGGATGTTTGCTGCAGTTGCCCGAAGGCTGTTAACTGGAGCACAGCCATACCACGCAGAGCAGGCAGAGTCATTGTGACTACTTCCCCATCCCTGGGCAGCCGTGGCAGCAATCGCAGCAAAACCCAGCACCTTTATGTACTCAGCACAGTTTAGCATGGGGCTAACCATCCCACAGCTTGGTGAGCTGGTGGAGCTGTACCCTTGGCTGAGGAAGAGGCTGAAAGACCACACCAAAGACAGTTATGCGGTTTGCTTTAGATCACCCACTCTAAGCATTGGCAGGCCCTTTCACAAAGCGTTCAGCAGCCATCACAAATGCAACAGAAATACTCCAAGCATGCAGCTTCAGCAATGTCAACTTGCAACGCTGTGCTGTCCACTCTGCAGTCTAACCCAGACTGTGACAGTGTCACACAAGTATGGGTAGGTTTTACGGCTGTTACAGCTTGCTCTTATTCCCACTGGCATTTTAAAGATACACAGTCTCTATGAACCTTCCTAGTCAGCTATGAACAGCAGCATTGATTACATTGATTATACATGCTTCTTTTAGCTCCAAAAGAAAGACTCAATTGCCAAGGTTTTCTGATTTTAGAGATATCTGACAAGGAAATCATAACTGTGTTTGTGTACAATGGAAAGAGCATCTTCATCTTCAGCTTCTTATCTGCAACCATTCTGTTTTACGCAATTTCATATCCCGAAAGTTTAGACCGCATGATATCACAAGTTTGATGTACATGCATTTTCAGGCATCTCAAAGATGTCACACTTGTGAATAGTTAATTGCATGACAACATATATAGTGCTCTTCTCTGTGCTCTATCCTGTCTTTGCCACAGGTTAGCTGTAGTTACATTTCTTTTATGATTATTATCACAGGCCTTAAAATAGCATGAAATAAAATGTTACCTATATTTCATAGGTAATACACCCAGTGTTTGCAAAACTTGAAACTGAGGTCTAGAGAAGCTAGCAGGTTAAAAAATGTACTTTTTTTTTCCTAAAATTGGAAGTTAATTAGCAAAAGTGGTAGATTTTTCCAAAGTCTTATGTGTCTCTTTAGATGCTTAAGCACTGTCACCCTAGGTGACTCAGCAGCTCTTACTAAAGGAGTAGGTGACTGAAGAGGGAGTGGAGGTAATGCACTCAAAGTTTTGTTCCAGAAGCAGCTGCACAGGATTTTTACTGTGCTTGTGTGAACAAGCACAGTGCCCAGCCAGCTTCTCCTGCTGCTCACTTTTACCAGCAGGGACATAAAGCACGAGAGAAACAAGGCATTAAAGCAACAATGAGCAAAATGTTAAACTAGCATACATGAGACAACCTGGAAACTCAGACAAGCCCAGCTTCCCGGAAAGGTCCTTCTGCCTCAGGCAGCCTCCAGGGACCCTTCCCATATGTGAAGGGCTGCACCCTATGTCCCCACAGGAGCTCAGCAACACAGGCTGCATTTATTAGCTTCCTCTTCACACTCGTCAGAAGACTGCTTATTCCCTACATTCCTG